TCTTTAAACTTGTCAGGTGGGTGAAGGAGACAAATGCCTTGAGGCTTGAGTAAAAAAAAAAAAAAAAAAAAAAAAAAAAAAAAAAAAAAAAAAAAAACACCTGTCCTCCTTTCATCCCTTCTGCTGAAGTTAGCTGTTGGGATTAGTATACTGGGAGGTTTTATTTTTTTTTTCAGTATTCTCTTTAACAAATTCTGAAATGTTGAAAAATATGTTAGAAAAATATTTTTTTCCGTAGAACAACTTTACATTAAGAATTCATCATTGATTGATTAATCAGTTATTCATGTAATAGTAAGCACATTTTAAATCCTAATTATGCAAATCAATTATTAGACACTGCTTATACATTAATGGGACATTTTCTGTAAAATCCACTTTTTTAGCTGTTAAATACATTTTGTTTTGGAGTCTCTAYGAGTGCAGAAAAGCTGAATTTTGTTTCTCTCAGTGCTGCGTACATATCTTTATATTTTGTTTGGGTCATATTTTTCAACCCATTTAGTTTTCTCTTTTTCTTATAATGTTTTCTGAAGTATCATGTCGTAGTATTTGAAACAGAGCTGCTGGAATTACAAACTACAATTTGGTGGTCTTCATTCTCCTCTGGCTCTAGGCTAGAAGGAGAAGTTGTTGACATTTTTAACTAATTTGAAAATTTCTGCACTGTTATCTAGTCATAAACCCCCACTACCAAACTAGAATGGACTGATCTGGAAGCTGGAGGGGGCAAGGTGTAAAGCACCTTGTTTGGATTTAAAGAGACAGCCTCAAAATGAGCTGATTTTAGACTCAACTCAGAAAAGGGGTGAAAAAAGGGCTTGTGGAGTTACAATGAGGAGGAATTAGACCAAAGCATTATAGTTCCACTTTATATAGACCCTAACTGAAGGATTTAAATGTGAAAAATGATAAATAAGCAGGATGTGTCTCCTTTAAAGCACAATTGCTTTTTTAGCAAACTCAAGTGATGTGTTTTTAATTCAGTTAAATAATGTACAGTATTTGTTCATGCCAGATGCACAGCTTACCATTTTTTCTTTTGTCATTTTACTTGTTTTATTCATTACAAGATACTTAACACAGACAGACAAATGGGTAAATAGATAGATGGATAATAGTACAGACAAAGTACTTTAGGCTGCATATTGAGGCATGGATAAAAGTGTGTTATGAGCTGATGGCAAACATAATTATGATGCATGTGATCAGTGCGTGTGAAGTGTATGAGGAGTGTGTGTGACCTGCAATTAACCATTCTCATGTGCCAGCAGTACAGGCTGCCTTTGTGATGCAACTAATTGGGAAGTGACAACTACTCCTGACTTGGGTGTGACGCAGTATGAGCAGGATGTAAAAAAGAGGTCCACAGCAGTATTTGATATTTTACATCTGGTGTACTGTATGTATTTTTGGTGAAAACAAGATGTGTGCGTATATCAGTTTAAATGTCAGAATAGGGCACCCAGGTACATAGGAGTATAAGGAAAGTCTGCATCTCCAGAAATAAAATGGCCTCAAAATATTTTTTGCAGTTGAGTTGTGTGTGGATCACATTCACTGAGAGCTCACCACACATGTGGAGAGTCAGATATACAAGTTAGCAAGAGGGTAGTACTTGTGTAATCCTTTAAAAACATTTGAAATTAACAAAGATCATGATTGGCTACCAGCATAATGATTGACTACACAAGAAGCAAAGGTACTGTGCAAAATGTATTTATTTATTTATTTATTTATTTATTTATTTATTATTTTTTGTTGTTGTTGTTGCTAGACCCGTAGAATTTGCATGTGCAAGAACAAAAGTCCAACGTCCTGTCTGCAAACTTGCAGACAACACACACACAACAGCAAGCCTCTAGCATGATTAGGCCTTTTTAATTTTTTAATTAATTAATTATTTTATTTATTTTACATTCAGGTTTTAAAAACAGAAATTAAAAAAATGGTTGTTTTTCATTTTGTGATTTTATTTTGGTATGGGGAAAAAAATCAAAGAACAAATCATGGATTTCTCTAATTTAAAAGGCTTTTCATTGTCTTAATGAGTGTTAAAAGCTGAATTACTAACTATTAACTATTTATTGATAATTTCTAAGACTACACTTTTTGTATTGTTCCATATTTTCAAAATACTGTATGTTTAATATTGCATCTGTATATTTTCAGCAGTTTTGTTATTCCAACCAGTCTTTGCCTCTGGCTATAGTTGCAGATCATGACCTGCACAACACAGCACTTGTTGTGATTGAAATATTTRGATTCATTCTAAATTTTGAAATAAAAGGAGAACGGCTTTGTTGAATGAAGCAAAAATGCATTTGAGCTTTTTTTGTTTGTTTATTTGCAACACAGGATGGGAAATAATGGCTTTTTAAGACTTGTTGGGGCAATTTTTCTAAGAAGAAGCCATGTGGGTGTGCTTGGATGGTGTTATTACTCAGTTGATAGAAAAAAAATGTTTGTTAGTTGTGTYTAAGTGTTGACAAAAAGACCTATGCGATTGGTTCCCTTCATTGTTATATATTTTTTGTTATTTTTTTAGTGGTATTACCACGGTTTTAGCTACATTTGAAGCAGGATGTTGACTGACTAGATTGAGTCAATTAAACTGAGTTTTACTGCAAACTGCTTAAAGTGAATGAGGGGGAATCTTTATGTGTGAAGCGG